GCAGTCGACGTAAGTCTGATCGTATACTCCTAAGCAAGCCTTTTCCTATATGTAGTGGCCCCTACGACGGGACAGCATAATTACCAATCGTAAGCAGGAGAAGGAGAAGTCCGTTGGTAGTTAACCAACCCATAGAGACAAAGGCTGGGGTCGTCATTTCAGAGCAATACTATCCAAACAGCCACATCTCAAAGAAAAGTCTACGCTCGACTCGAGCAGATATTCACAGGTAAACTGTATTGTCGTTCAAGGCTGTCCTCATGTACGGTGGCGTCTTCACTCTTATCATCCAAGGACTTCGGCATCCAAGAGTTGGTGGTATCGGGAGAGTGTGGAGTGTAGCCGTGGAGAGTGGAAGAACTGCTGAACTATTCAGATATGATCCAAGAATCGATCAGGTACTCATAGCTAATTTCCATTTTCTGTTATGCTGTAGGCCTAACCAAGCAATGCAAAGGCGGGCTGAGATTGAGTTCGTTGGCGGGTTGATCGGTGGATTTCTGACACTCTATGCTGTTTGTTTTTAATATTCATATCCACCGTTTTAAAGGCAAAACCCAGACATGGTCGTGTGAACACTTCTCTTCGGTTTGAAATATAGCGTAATAACGCTACAATTGGCTCCGTGCGGGAAACCAACCACAAGACGGTTGGCCCTTCCAGATAAGCGCCAGACGCAACATTCTCTTAATCAGGCCTTTGCTGGCCCTATCTCTATGTAGCGCTCTCTCGTCCCTACCTCCCTCTGCCGTTAGTCTCGTCATTCTCTTGTCACAGTCGATCAAGAAGGTAATGCCTTAAGGCAAAGGTACTGCAGCTAAGAAGTTATGCCGGCTGAAGGTTGTAGTGGTAGTGCAAAGCCAACTCCCACCTTGAAAACCCCGTTAAACCCCTGGGGTCGAATTCAACAGCCACCTTCAAGTAACGACCGGCCCACCTCGAATGGCTTGGTGCATACACGCAAATCGCTAGTTTATCCGTATCAAGCGATAGAACGACTGATATCTTCAGAAAACTTGTTTGTACGTGCCTCTTTCCCAAGCCAGCCTCCTTCACTGCTAGTGGGAAAGAGGGTTTTGTTAACGGCCTTGTCGACGGTTTTCTCAGTTTTTTCTCCACTGTCGTTCCACTTCGCATCTCTATACCAACGTCGAACGCGGGATAAACGCCATAAACACCTTAAGAGAGCCCCGGACTTTGCTTTAAACTAAGCGTTTTTGCAACGGATTTTTTTCCTTTTTTCTATGCCGCCACTCGCACCAAAATTCGAACTATGTACAAGAACCACACCAATCCTTCGGCACCTTTAACGGCTCAAGCGTAATTAAGTAAGAGACATTCGATCTCGCGACCCATTGAATTCCGGAACACGGATGACAGCCTGGCTTGTTTATGCTCGATGCAAATCTAAGCTATATAGGGTGGGCTAAAATTATGGTAACCAAGACGTTACATCATGGAAAAGCGATATTAGCCTAATGAAACAAACAAAGTCCAAAAATACATCCTACTCGTATCGTGAGGAAAAACTGGGCTGGGATTAAAATCTGTCGCCTACTGAGTTTTAGCAAGCCTTCAGATGAAGGGGGAAGGTCTGCACGGCAACACGCAGGTAAGACCCGTCACAATGACCCCAGGTTCTCTAGTGCTTCTTTCAATCATTGAATAGAAATTTTAAGAGTTTAGAATAGCACTCACTTCAGGGTTTACCATACAGAAAATCCAGCTGATTTCGGTAGAGAGTTCTCAAGTCTCATGTCCTCGAGAACCATGGATTCGAGCAACCGTTATTGCAAAATTTTTGCATGACGATTCTTTTTAACTATCTTATATGGTCAAAAATCAAGAATTGAAGATCGCGAAATCTCTTAGCACTTCATCAACATGTAAAACGTCTTGTGCAACTGAAAAATTAATGCACGAGAAACTGCTTGGCAATCGTTTTGACTGAGACTTTTTGAACGCTTGATCTATAGCTATGACTTTTCTTGTGATCTGAGGCTTAGTTGAATATCAGAAATCAAGAAAACTCATTAACTCGGTGAAAATGAGGAGGATATCAGCGTCATGCGCTTCAAATGATTTAGTACAACAGCATCTGGATTAACATCGTTTCTGGAACGATCACGTGGTTAGCTTCATTCGGCGTCAATCAACTGGCCATTCAGAGATACGCCAGCCTCCCCTCACTCCGAAAAGCACAGGTGAACCGATCTATTACAATATATTAGGTTGGTCCATAAGTCTTGCAACAAACTGGCTAAATTTTGATTTAATATTTTATTATCTTTTTGTTCCATTCATCCAGCATGCTACACACCATCAATATCTACAACCTATTGCCAACGCACTAGAAGCTGTTCGATGCCTCCCTTGTAGAACTCTACTGAATTCTGATCGAAGAAAGATCAGATGTCGATTTTGACATCATCATGGTTAGGATGAGATTTCTTCTCTAGGAGGTGGTCTTGGAGAGGGAAGCAGGTGGGCATCCTTTGGCACGAGGTCAGGGCTATAAGGTGGATACGGAAGAACTCTCCGTCTGAGAGTCCCAAAGTTTTCCTGGAGGTTGAAGTTTAGCAGTAAGAACATCGAAAGCGTTTGAGCTGACTATCCGCCGCTTGTTTATTTGTTAGCACACTGTACCCCTCCTCATCTTCGGCAAATGTGATGGATGGTCAATCGAAGAATCCATAGTAAGTCGACTTGAACATGACGATGTCAGATCGTGTTTGGAGCTGATTCGGGCTCAAGGCATGTGGGATCCAAACTCTATATTTTCGGATCTTACAAGTCTTTGGAGATGCCACAGTGCTGTCTCCTTGTCGCATCGAATTGCTCTGGCAAATGATCGATACTCTATCCAGATCCCTTTTCAACAGCGTCAGGTAGAGCATCGTGATTGCCAGTCACAGGGTGGTTGGAGTGTTAATCATACTGGAATCAAATATGGATGCTCTTTCAACCATTATACAGCCCTTAGTACGCTTCTAACTTTTCTAAGATGCGCATTGACTTTGATTCACTTTTTTTTCTTCACACCTGACTGGAGATCTTCCTACCTTTTGTTTTAGACCATAATTTACCCACATTTGACTGCAGTTTGTTTGATTAATGTGATCAAGGAATTGTTGTAGCGCACCTAAGCGTGCACCAAATAAATAAATAAATAAATAAAGCTTCAAATGCTTCGCGAGGCAGTCCGCCGCACACACACCGTGAATCAAGAGGGCGCGTGCCTCGCTCTATGTGGCTGATCCTTGGTGTATAGTAGCACGACTTGCAGAACATTTCGAAGCGTACTCGTAAAAATTTGAGGCGGCAATAACTTTTTGAGCGAAATTTGGCTTGTAATGTTCGTGAACAGAAGTGACGGACAAGAAGGTTGGACGGGTTGACAAAAAATTGCAAAGTTGGATTGTTTGTCCACAAACATGTTTCCGGGCTCTCACAAAAGTTACTCTAGCGATGAATGAATGTTGTTACAAGGTCATGCGAACAACCTTTATGTATATGTAGTTGTGGACAAAAAGGGTGCTAACTTAGTTGGGGGGGGCGCGGCGCGCAGTCTGCTCGCCTGGCATGTTCGGAAATCCGTGGGCCAGGGGGAGTGTAGGCAGTCTAGGGGGGTGGGGGTGGGGGCAGTCACTTGACATGCGTGAAAAGCTGGAATGTTCGAGTTTACACTGTCTCGCTCGAGAGAGCCCAGGTGAGCAGACTGCCGCGCCGCCGCGTGCCCCCCCCCAACTAAGTTAGCACCCAAAAACTTTATCATGTTCTTTCTTTTACGACATTGATATTGTGTTGTTAGAACATCTCTATGCACGCTGTTTATGTCATCATTTTGTGCTCAGATCGTGGCTTTTCGTTCGGGTTCATCACTTTAGCCTATTTCTACAATTGTAATCCAGTTGACACAGGAGAGATAACTGAAACCGATCATCTCACCATCCTGTTCGCTAGGGATATATTACGTATGTTTGCATCGTGCACATATTTCTCTCTCTTCTTTTACACGAATTTTCGGTACTTAGCATGCAACGTTCCTCTTGATCATCTGGAACTTGAAAAGTCTTAGTAAGAAAGGTCATGTTTGCTTTAGGAATCACCAAAAGGGCGGCAGCGTCCTACAGCGGCCGCTGCCGAGCAGTCGTAATGTGTGCTATGTATGGTGAATTCTCATAGCGATGACGTGATGTAATTTTTGACAATTCAGCCCCTGGCGGAGTTTGCGGAAGGCAGTCACCAGAGTCAATGTGGAAATGATCAATGGTGTGATGGAGGAAAAGACTACGGAAAACAGCCTAGAAGCCGAGAAATGGGACCCGTTCCTTGCCCAGTTTGATTATTGCATTGTTGCGACCTCATCATTCGCCATTCAATGCTAACACTCTCTCTGCAAATCGTCTAGAGACCTTCGACGAGTCTTGGATCGTCGGGGGTCTATAACAAGCTGCGAACTGCGTATTGGTCCGCACCTTACAAGGGTGTCGTGGTTCGGGAGCGGTTGCCCTCCTCCAACACGACGCATCGAGGTGGTTCGGGGCCCCCGTGGCCTTTCCCAGGCACACGTCGTTCTACGGGTCCTTCCCGGGGATCATGCGGTTTCCCGCACGCATGACCTCCGCACCCCGGGGCCTTACAGGGTTCCTAACCCAGGAACGGGGGGTTACTGGGTCTTTTTTTTTTTTTCCCCGCCAGGTAAACCCCATTGATACAAAACAATGATGACCTAATGCGCTTTATCGGGCCCTGCCTGGCGTCTCTAAAGTTACCCCGTGTCTGACTATACTAAACATGTATACGGCAACTACATGGCTTGACTCACAAGTATTGTTTGGCACGTAACGTGCCCTCGACAGCACTTCAAGTCAATTCATGCGCGGTGGAGTGAAGCCGGCCACCGCTTGGTAGTGTCGTGAAGCAAAATTAGCAAGGCAAGAAAACCAAGAGTAACACGGGCCTAAGCAAGACGAATTAGAAAATGTCCCTGGGAAAAAAAAAATGTAAGTAGACAATAAATTACAGCGACTCGAAAAGCGAAAAAAAAACAAGGAAAGAACGGAAAAAAATGCACAACGACATGAGCTGAGGACGTGACTAGATGCACCCCTAAGAACCATTCGATCTCGCGCGACTGCCGAGACATCCAGTCTTCCCGGAGAGGAGACGAAGAGCGCCGACTGGCAGAGGCGACCCTTTATATAGGCCTCGGCTGGAGGCGTGGCCGGAGGCGGAGCACGCGCCTCTCGCCGGTGCGTGCGCCGCCAAGCGACCAACGGCGCGACAGGGGGCCGGGCGCGCGGTGCGCCCACGACCGTCGTCGCGAACCGCGACAGGGAGCTCGTTCAGGGTGTGCCAAGCTTTTTCAAAATGCGCGCAAATACAAATAGACAAATAGACTTTGAGAAAAACTGGTGAAAAAGGTGTGACTAGGGACCCCTTTTCTGGTATTCAGAGGGCCGTTCAGGAAAAATTAACCATGGTTCTGTGGTTTCCGCCCTCATTCGGGGCTTACTCAGAGAATTCTTGGGCTTTAATTCTTTTCTGAAGGTCACTCTTTACCTCCGGCCATTAATGCACGCTCTTACACACCCAATTGCTGAGGCTCACCTTTGAAGGAGGATTCCATGATAAGAACGACGGTTGAAGAAGGGGAAGCCTACCTAGTGGAGAGAAAGGCCCACCTCACGGGTGGACCAGCCGGATATATTTAATGCGTTATCAATCAAAGTATGGTCTTTGTTAGTATGATGGCTGGCTATGGTTTAACATGTGCAAACGACCTCTTAGTTGGTTGCTAACTCGTCCATTATCGGAGGTCAACGGGCAAAGAAAGTCCCATTTTGCGCGTTCTTGACGGATTTCTTTGCTTTTTTCGCTGGGGCATTATTCAGCATCCCCACTTCCACTATGAACCAACCAATCTTATCGTAATCCCTCGCTTTAACTCTTGAAAAGTAGCAAATGAAAACCACTCAGCAAACATGATCTCAAAGTGTGCACCACATAAATGTAGATCATCTTTGAAGGATTATGAAGATGGGTGCGCGTAGATGGGCCAGCGTTTCGTGTTTTTGAGTGAATGGCGTGGAACTCGAAGCTTGCTGGACGAGCCACGGTTAGCCCTAGTTGCGACATTCCTTTTTATGTGAAAACTGAAAAAAAATTTATGAGACACCTTCTTGATCAATACCCTTCTCATCTCTAACGGCTTAACGTGCAAATACTGAGAGATGCTCTTATACTGTTGGTATGCGCCACGCATTTGATTCGGCCTATACATTTAATAGTTCACAATATACGAGTCGGTCCCCTTCCTACCAAACGAGTCCTGTGCTGAGAAGCGCACTCGAGGGAGAGAAAATGTTCGGCTGATCTCTATGTGAAGCTCATAATTTGTCCCGCACGCCCTTCATCCAAGTTGTCCCCAACCTTGCTTTAGGTTCAAAGAATACCCACTCCCTTCTCCACTACTGACGAATATATACATATACAATAATGATGGAAATGAGGGCTCAATTGTAGTAATGTTCAACCATCTCCTAAAAGAAACAATGCGAACAATTGTGAAGAGTCCTTATGTAATTTGGCTGCTCATGAACTCGATAATTTCCCTCTAGACATCGAAGCCTGCCTATATGAGTTCTTTCGGAACCCCCTCTCATGCTTTTGCACCTCCAATTGTCCCGTGCTGGTCTGATTTTCAAGAAGCCAAGTCAATATCTAGAGATCATGTTGTCCACACAAAAGCTACCTAGTGAGCCCCTAAGTCGGTCGCTGTCCTTGAAGTCAGTGGAAGCGCTACAAAATCGTTTCGGCTTATATTTTTGGCGCGTGAGTTTTCCCGCTTTTTGCAACCACGATGGCAATAGGACGGTCTGGTTTTGGTCGTCTTTGAACGTCATTGGTGAACTGGACCCCTCGCGCACTGATTTTGTTGCTGGGATCGCCTCTTGGGCAGAGTCAACCCTGCGTTGCGCAGTTCTCAACGGCCACGTTGCGCAGTTTCGCCCGATTAGACACGTTCTCTCGCGCGAACATTCACACTCGCATGCTCGAGCCGTCTGTGTCTCCGCCCATACAGCGTGCGTTGAGGATCTCTCAACGTGCCGTTGCGAACTGCGCAACGCAGGGTTGACTCTGCTTGGGCCTTCCGCCAATGACGTCTGAGGGCGCCACCAAAACCGAAACGCCCTTCAGCCATCGTGATCACTGCCCTCAAATCAAATTTATCTTTAGCTCAAAGAATAAGGCGCTAACATTGTGAGTGCGAATAGGTCGTTAGACCCTATCTCAGATAATAGTAATAATAAAAAAAGGATAAAGCATTTGCCGTTGATCAATCCCTTTTTGGGATGCGGCACGCATTCTACTTCCATTTGTACATTCGTAGTGGCGTTTGAATGCGATGTGGCCTATACAATGACTTGCGGGGGCCAGCCGATGTACAAGTCAGTGTTTTTATCCTCCCAGACAAGTCTGGTACCAATTAACCGACCCCGGAGGGATGGAAGGCTTGGTTGGCCCGGGCGACTCACGACCCAGGATTTGATCCCCGGACCGCTCGCGTGGTAAGCGCGCCACTTGTCCACTACACCACTTCCGCCCTTAATTATACTAGAATTAAGTTAGATACTTGAAAAAACAAAAAAAGCATGCTACTTTCTATTACTCGGATTATATACTGAGAGGTCTCATGCGCTGCACATCCGACAATGATGAAGGTGTGAGCATAGATATGCATTCTTCTCGCTAAAAACATGCCACAGCCAATAGACATGGAATTTCCACTGTTTTCAAAAGCAAGCGATAAATGACCTAAAAACGATAATGAAAGATGACACCTAAAAAATTGAAGTAACCCAATACTCTCTATATCACAACATCGGAACAGATTTAATGTACTGAATTATAACTCTCCACTCAGAACCAACTCCTGGATTGTTTGGACTATACGTGTCCTGCATTATGTCCGCCACGCTCTCTACACTTTCGAGTGGTATGAACAGCATGGCGGCGGCAATCTACGAAGACTTCCTCAAGCAAAGACTCGATGGCAAAATAACCGATCATCAGGCAACACTTCTCAATAAAGTGAGTTGATGAAGCGCTGTACATTTTGAAGACACCACCCAGGCATAAGTCGTGCGATAGATTCCCTTCCGTCTGTAGGATAGGTCCCCAAATGGCAATCAGAGATGTGGGACTCCTCCCTAATGAGAATCACCTAGCAAGGGCGCCAAGAGCTTGCAAATTTAGCTGCAGCAGCTGCAATGCTCCCCATCCGCAGGAGGCTGTAGTCTGGTGCCCTCTCATGTGATGCGCTCTACCGCTTCGCGCTCTCCTCTCCGCGCACGGTCTCTTATTGCTTCAGCAGTTGCATCAAGCCCCTAACTTAAGCATCTTCGACTTTTGCTCTTTTCTTTACTGCCGGCCCGTTTCGTACATATACTTTCGTATTCGTGTTCACGATCCTAATCAGTTTGATTCTGCAGATGCATTCAATCTATCTACCCTCGCCTTCAAATGACCAGAAATTGTGCAATTGCAGAAATTGACGTGGCATTAACGTGGCATCGATTCAAGAACATCTTTGAGCACACGTGATGTCACCTTTTCATCGAGAATTTAGCCACGTGTGCCAATGCCACGTCAATTTCTGCAATTGCACAATTTCTGGTCATTTGAAGGCGAGGGTATGTAGAAACCAAACTCAACAATTAATCACATAATAGTCATTTCTAATAGCTGGAGATTTTAAATATTATGTTGCTTCTCGGCCTTCACAAGAACATTTCACGATTGTTTCTCTGGGAAAATCCCTCTCGTGAGCAATGCAACCAACTCCATAAAACTAGGAGCAGCGCCTCTCGAAAGCTCGCAGCAGAAGTATCAGAGGTTTACGACTCTCTCTTCCCTATCTTCTCTCATTCCTCTAAGCGAAATTGTTCGCCTTCTGAAACTAGGCCCTATTCTAAATGTTTTGGGCGGTCTCTTGTAATTCAATCGTGGAATGTGCAGTTAGTCAAAGATTTTGAATTTCTGGAAAGCTCTGTGTTCAGAATTTGCCTCTGTCAAATTGCGAATATTTTAGGCGATTGTCGTTGCTTGTGGTGTTTCATCTACTGCCCTTGCCTTTGCAGCTGATCCCTTAGGTGGCATTCTAAGGGTAACAGATTTCTTCATTTTTATAGATAATTCTTTGACTGTAGTATTTTTAAGTTCAGGTTTGCGTCAGTGTAATGGGTGCGTTGTCTGGGCCTATGGTGGCGATTTTCGTGCTGGCCATGTTCTTTCCACGATCAGGTTTCTGGAGTTGTATAGTGTCATTTGTCGTGTCCAACATCATCATGATCGTCATCTGCATAGCCAATTATGTCGAAGACCCCTATCGAGAACTATTTCTACCGACGAACTCGAGGTGAGAACATTTTCAACGATGTTGAGTCGATAACGTGTGCTCTACGTGACAAGGTCCATTGCAGCGCCTGGCGGAGAGAATAATTCCCAGTTGTGCTTAAAGTTGCTTAACACGTTGACGACATTGTGCAGCGCATGCGCATCACACCTTGAGCACCGTGTGGGACCGTGTGCAGCGCATGCGCTGCACACACAAAATATTTATTTTTTCGCGCATGCGCTACTTCTTTTCTAATTTTTTGCATCTATTCTATAGACCACACCATAATATGACTAGACACGGCGAGGTTCATCGAATGGTTGAATATGCTCCTTTTTAGCGAAGGTTTTCCAAGTCCTACGAATTTCCCAATTGTGTTCATTCCTAGTTAAATTCTGACAACCTCGGTCATAAAAAAGAGTAGTAAAAGCAAGTATAGACCTACACATATAGCAAGATACAAGTTTTTAGTGGAGCAACCGCGTCAAAAATAATTTTGAGGTTCACTACAGCAAAAGCAACTGAAACTTGCCTTTCATTGCCAGAAAACGTCAATTCGATCGAACTTTTACAGTTGTTCCTTCTGATAAGTTTGACACATCGAATATCATTCGAAACATTTTGTTGCATCCGAGTTTTGCGTATTAAAGCTCAAAATTCACGGATTTTATGTGAGGCGGCGGCGCCTGCAAAATCGCCGTGGTCCCACGCGGTGCAAAAACCCAAAACGCGCGTTGTCGTCAACGTGTTAAATTGCGCTAACACTATAATCCTCTAGTGAAGTGCCCACAACCTTTCAGACAATTTAGTGCGATTCATACTCAACTTGAGCTTAAACTTCACCTCAGATTTGCTTTTCTTGATCAAGCTGCCAACTGTTACTTTTTTCTAGTATCGCCAACGGATTCCTCACCACGATCAAGCCCCGTATCGTTGTTTTAACGAGAGAGCTTTTTTTCTAGTTGTTTTGTGATTATTTTTTCGTTTTGCACGGTTTCATATCTATAAGGTTGTGCTAGGATAGGAACAACTTGTTAAGATTAATGGAAGATGTAGAAGAGTCAATAATCTATAGGTCCCCTCTTAGATCTACTGAGTCTTTCATCCCTCTGTCATTGGCTCACTGCTACCAGACTGTTCTGGCAGGATGAAAACGCGAACTGTACGTTGGCTGGCCCTCGCAGTCATTGTATTAGGTTGTCTCTATAGTTCGTTCTATTTTCGAACATTTTTTCAGTTGGCATTATCTCAGCAAAGAGCGGTACCCATCATGAATACATTGCCAACGATTGACTGGAGAGTCAATGCCGTGCCCTAGAAGGTCGACCACTTGAAGCTGAGAAAGGCGCTGAGGACAATTTCGAGTTTCTTGACTGGATCGTATTTTTTTAGAACTTCTCAACTAAGCTTCAAAACATAGAACCATCTCTTTGTGAATCGCGTGGTCTCGGTTTCTCGTGATAGGGTAGACATTCTTCATTGCATTTTGATAAGTTGGAGCTCTATTACCAGTTCAAGCGTTGATCACAGAAGACCTGGCCTGCCACAAGACCGAAGAAGGAGTGAAGTTGCTGATGGCTGATTCGCGATTTGCTTTTCATACGTGGTCCAGAAGATTCTGCTGAACTTGACAGCTTTCCAGCCTTTCTGATTGATACAGCAAATGGTGCTTCGAGCTTATCATAGAACAAACTCTTCTCATAAACGGTAGCGGCATTGTTCATCCCCCGCGTAGGGATGGAACAGGATAAAAGACATTGACTCAACTAGAGTTGCACTCTCATGATTACTGATCAGTTCATGAGAATTTTCTAGACCTTTACAATTTTCCAAAGGAGAGCAGATTTAAAAAAACCGTGTACATGAAATATCTGGGTGTGACGGCCTCATTTAAATAACCCTTGTGGGTAGCTTTTATGGGAACGCACAGCAGATCCAAATCAACCACCGCTTGCCTTCCTTCTAGGTTAGTCTTTTTAGCGCTAAAGATTCAAACACTCTCATATCACATGGTGGACGAGCAAAGAGTTGTATCGCAGCGCAAGTGTTACGCAGGCTTCATCAAGCTGGAAAGAATGTATTGAAATCCTAAAATTTCTAGCAGTGCAGGATGTGGGTCACACAACTTCACAGTACGGCAGCCTCCGCTATATAACGCTCACTACGGTGATCCGAACACCATGTTCATTTCGAGGTAATAATTTCTGCCTACATTGATTCTATGACACAGCCCAATTAGAACTTCACCCTTACTGCAACCTCTACATGTCCAAGTCTAGTGCATTGTCGCGGAATCATCATAACTAAACCCAGAACTAATTCGCAATTACACAGTGTTTCCAATTGGTTCAGGATTTCCACTTACGGTTACGCCGGAGTTGGTTTCGCCATAATGATGGCAATAGGAACCACTATCAGTTTTTTCAAAGCTGAGCAACGACCAGAAAGAATACGGCACCTCACCTTTGCAGGAAGGAAGTGAGTTTCAAGTGTTTTGTGCACAATGAGCACTATTGAAGAGTCTACCGGGTCGAGCGAGTTCTAGGACTACGGGAGGAACGGGACGGATTTTCTTCGAAATGAGGCACCGAAATTTCAAGCTTCATGCTGTTAGCTTAATTAAATTGCTTTATAGGGAGCCGTGGCCGGAGTCTCATCATGAGTTTGACCATTTCATTCGTGCTGGTGGAACCAGATGACACTCGATTTTTGTTGTTGTTGTTGTAACTTGTCTAATAAATTTTTACATGAAACAGTAAAACATGAGTTTTAGTCACAGTTCATTTTCTCGATTTCAGGCGAGTATTTATGTGATCATTTCTTTCTCAACAGCAAGACTGTGAGCAGTGTTTGCTGCTATTAGTAACTTTTCAAAATGCAGCCAGCGTCTGTTTGCAGCTCCCTATTCCACTTCCATCACTATTTTTCAACAGTTGTATCGCTTGAGGTGAAGGTGGAGACCTAGCGCAATTGTGATCAAAAATCGTCTTCCAGCAATTCGTTTCGATCGCTGATGTTTTCTTCCTCGAACTTTTGGTTGTGCTTCTCGATTGCTGGCTTCAATTTAACAATATAAATTTTTATTCTATTGCAAATGCTCTTGATCGCCGATATTTCCAGTACAACACCATCCATGCTATGACTGCAATGTTTTGAGGAAGGGCTGCAGATTGAAAAGGATGACACGAAGGCGAGATTTCTTTGTCGTCTTCAGTACTCCATCCATGTTCTGGAACGCTCCTCATCAGAAAATCGTGTCGAGGAACTGGTCGCAAAAGTACGACCCCCCCCCAAAAGTCGAGGTCCTAGTTGAACCCCCTAATGTTGTTCAGTGTTGATAAGGCTTCTTCGAATTAATTCAGTAAAACACAAGCTTCTTCAAATTTATTGCAAAAAAATACACACAATACACTAAATCTTCATTTCCCATTTTTTCCTCCCCTCGCGAGGAGAAGAAAATCTTAAATGGCCCAACAAAACAAAAAAAAACAGAAACAAATAACAACGGTGCTAACTTGGCTGGGGTGGAGGGACAGTCGCCGCCACAGCGTTCTTCATGTTTGACCCCCCCCAACAAGGGGTCGCACATCATAGGTTTTCACTCATGTTCGTATAGATTCTCCCCACCTCCCCTTCCCGATGGGCTGAGACAGAGACAGCCCCAAACTCTAGACAACTTCTGGGTGCGCAATCACATCCGCCCTTCCCTTCTGCCGCCTAAAAATCGCATTTGAACTTCTGGGTCCACAGCTGAAAAAAGTGCGAATGCCATAGACAAAGGGAGTGAGAAGCAAGTGTATGGCTTACAAAGAAGAGCAATAAAAGAATTATGGAAAAAACCTGTATCGTGTCCAAACGAAGTCTTTCTCGCGTGCCGCGCCGTTGTCGTAGTCCCAATTTCGAGCCAGCGGACATTGACAAATCGATTACCACGACTGTGGTATTTTCATGGGTTAGCGGAGATGACCGTGTATTATGTTGCGTGACTAGAAATTTCAGCACACTCTTTGGATCTTAATTACCTTCTCGGCAGATATGCAGAGCTTACTCGAACTGCAGCCAAGACAAGGAGCGAAAAAACAATCTGGAAGTTGACATTTACAGACGCAACAAACTGAGCATGGCACCAATGTGCTCACTTTGAATACACGGGATGACGGTTCGTAATCGTCTCCACAGCAGATTAGTGAAATGCACTGACTTCTCAGTGAAGCCCGTGAAACACTTTAAAATTTCGTTGAATTGAAATTTCCAGCAACAAGGTGTTGCTGAAAATTTCGGTGCTGGGTCGCAACTACTATACACATCCACTTCATTTTACGTAATAAGAAGCATGCACAATGTAGTGGATGTGTTGTGTGTATTGTTCAACATTGATTACTTGTTGTTTAACGACATACTTTAAATATTACTTCATGTTGAACAATATGCACAACTTATCCACTCGATTATACGTAATAAAAAGTATTATGTACAATGAAGCGGATGTGTTCTGTGTGTTGTTCAACATAGAGTAACATTCAAAGTATGTCGTTAAACAACAAGTAATGAATGTTGAGCAATACACACACTCATCTACTCCATTGTACATGTTTTTTTACGCAAAACGAAGTAGATGAGAAGATGACGAATGCGGAATGGATAGGAAAAAACGAAAAAAAGAAAAACCCAAAAGCTATCAAGGGTGCTGCCGTGTTATCGTTAAAATGATAAGGTAGAGAAGGTTAAAGGGGGAAGGGGACACCAGAAGTACGAATCGGTTAGATTGAGCATACTTTGAATGAATGGCAGTCAGCTAAAATACTCACACTTATTTATGCTTCAAACTACAGCTCAAAGACAAAGAACCGTCAAGACTAAATGATGTTAGTTAGAGGTAGGATGCTGCATGATCCCGCAACGAACTAGGTTCAAAAAGTGGGCAGCTTGCCAAAAAAACTCGAACAGCACCTTTTTAGTGTAGAGGTTCGGGCAGCGTAATAAAAGCCACAAATAAAAAAAAACGAAAAATGTCTCTGTGTAATTCGCAAGGTTTTCAGTTACGGCAGAAAATTCTACGACGGAAAAAAGCGACGTAACAGAAGTAATAGTGACGTCAGCTCACCTTTTCGCTTTGAGAATGTGATCCTTGCGAATGAGATTCGTAAAGCTTTCAGATGACCGACGTAGGGCATTGGTTCGACGAGACTCAATTATCACTTGAAAATCCTTGCTAAACTTTTGGGCCCGATTATACGACCACAAAGATACCCAAATCAGTATAATGTTACTTGGAAAAACCAAATGTCTAGAAACCACTTACTACCGCATTTTGTGGAGGAAATCCACCACAGCTGTTGTTATATTTGGACGATGATAAAATTATACGTTCTGGTATTTTCTTTGAGTCGTTCATGGACGGATGTCTCTGTAAAACACTGAATGTTGGCTTCACACATTCCGCAACTGCTTATTAATCAGAATTTTCAATTCAAGCTAACAATTTCGACTATTCCTTCCTTTTCATATATGGGTGAAAACACCAGCGTTGAGCGCTCCTATTGCAGTGAATCTAATGCGGACATCACCATGGCATCTCACCAAGTGTCCGTTATCTCGAAGCGACGTACACGTTGGCGAGGTGCCAATGCACCCGCTAGATTTTTTCAAGTTAAATGTAAGAACAGAACAAATTTTAAAATTAATTTCCAGTCTAGTTTGCAACAACATTCCCTTTAGGAGCTTCCATCGACCAAACCGGCTGATATAAGTGGCGAAGGTGTCCGTGCGTTCAGGAAAGAACTGTTAACTGCAGCGCAGATGCGAGGCCGAACGTGGTATTTCAACAAATCGCTAACTTTAGATTCAGAGAGGGACCCGGAGGTCATGCGCAACCAACGAATGCAAGCGTAGAAGGGGAAAGCGTGGACCACATAGAAGT